AATGTCTGAACAGTTTTCACATGTGTTTGTGAGTTAGTCTTGTAAATATCAGCACTGGAACAGAAGTGGGGTTAGCAGAGAAGAAGCTGCAGGATGGAATTAGTGTAGCAGACACAGAACTTTGTTAAGATAAATGTTTTAAAGATATGCTGTAAAAAAAGGATTATTGAAACAATGAGTTTCTGTATGTTTACATGTGTGTATCTATTCATCATTACCCTCTATAAAATCAAATTTTAATTCAGACTTTTGCAGTGATATTATATGCAGTGTTGTCTCCTATTTGCACTAGTACAAAAACAGAGAGGATAATGCAACAGAGCAAATGGGGAAACACAAGCAAAACACCCAACTTGTTTTGTGATAAGGAAAAGAGAAATTAAAAAATTATATCCTTGCAGGAATTTGCATAACCAACCCTAATTTCATCACTGAAATTATATCCCACTTAATTTCCTACTTAGATTAAATTGCAGGTTGGGTTTTTTTTTCCTCTTAGATTTAAGGCAAGCAATTATTATTATTTAAATTATCTTCAACCTTTCCTGTGGTGTCAAAAAGACAAATAGCAAACACTTCTGTAACTGTTCTGCTATCACAGTTACTCTGAAAGGGCTATCACTTATTTAGCAAAAATCATAGACTATGAGAATTCTAGGAATACCTCTGGAGAGAGACCAAGAAGTATAATTGAATATAATGTTGGTAACAAGAGTAAACAGACAAGAAATATTACAGAAAAGGGAAATCGAGAATGAAAAGTGAAAGGTTTCTGCACAGCAAAGCTGGACAATTCCTCCTTAAACTCTTAGAGAAAGCCTTGAATACAGTATGTTTAGTATCAAGAATTGTGCACTGTCCTTCTACTATATGAATTGCACATTTCAGACTTCTTCTGGTCAGCTGCAGGGAACAGTAAAAGTTAGGGGTTTGTTTTTTATTTATTTTTTCTTGGTTTCTGTGTTGAGCAACTTCCACTTTCTGAAGAGCTATCCCATACCCTGAGGCATTTAGATGTGCTGGTGACTACTGAAATCCCTGCAGTGCCTGGTTCATGGGTCTTTCCCTAGTCTCAGAGACAAAACATCCACTAAATTTCCTCTCTGAGGATTCCCTCTGAATTTACACCAGCCAGGCACATCTTTGGGGTATGTTTTGTTATTTCATGTTTTTTACTCCTATCCTTGGAGTGGGATTAATTTCTTGATATTGTACTGAATTTCTTCTGCCACTTAGGCAATGAATAATAATTATAATAATTATATATTTAAACAGTTTGAGTAACAAGATGTCTTAAATTATAAGACAGTATTTTCTTTTTAAGAAAATAAATTTTCCATGTTAATAGATAAGATATAGAATAATACAAGTGGCATGAGATAAAACTCCTTTGTGACACAACTACTCAGTTTCTTCAGAAGCTGTTTCCCCAAAGAGAAGAATCTGCAAAAGATCTGGAAGTAATTAGAAATTACTGTAGTGTTGGTTAGAGAGGAAAAAAAAAAATAAAAAGAATATGAAAAAAAAGCAATTGAAATCTAAATCTGACGTAAGAAAGAACTACACTGCAAAAATTGATGCAATTTTCTTAAACAGCATGGCTTATTAAAGAAATCTGCCACTCCAACAGCAACACAGCTGTGACATGCTCACCTAGGCTGAGGGAACAAAGACCAGCTAATCAACCACAGATCTTGTCAAACCAAACACATCTTCATCCATTTTATGTTAAAGTAGACTAAATCCAAATAAAAACACCTATTTTAGTAACATTGGAAATCATTATATGTTTATTATCAACTATCTAGAATTTTTTTTTCAAGTACCTGGATGTGTGATTATGGTTTATATAAGAAATACAGAAAAGAAAGCTTTCAAATTAACCCAAATTTTAATCTAGTACAGTAGGTGTTACTAGGAAAAAAATATAATACAAGTTGAAGTGCAAGAAAGATTTCTTTTTCTTTTCTGAAAACACAGACTAATGCATTTTGTTCTTCCCCAATCCTACAAAAGATGTACCATCCATACAGGAGTTCCTTTAAAACTTTAAACGTCTTTTTCACAGAAACTCCAAATTCCTTTGGGGAAAAGGCTTGATTGCATATCCCTCAGAGCCTAAAAGGCTGCCCATATGAACTGAATTATCCATGACATGTACCTTCAGACATTTGTAATGTGATATTTCATGTAAATTTAGACCATACCTTGGATGTGAGCCGCTGGCAATGTTGATTTTATTCAGGAGCTCAGATAAGAAAAAAAATTCTGACATCCTTGCTAATCTGTAGTCGTTAACATGGAATTTCCAACATAAAAAGCATAAAAGCATCTAATTTGCTGTAGCAAATGAAAGGAAAACAAACTTTGCGTTTCCCTTTCCTTTTCAATGTCTAAAGTTACTCTGTTCTGTGCAAACAGAATTGTACTTTTCAAAGGTTTTTATTATCGTCATCTATCTTTTGAGTGACACATTTCAAACTTCCCCACATAATCTGTAAAATGTCATTCAATTCGAATATGAAGGATTTACCAGTGTTAGGAAGAAAAGCCCTGTTTACACTGGGATTATTAAAAACACACAAACTATGTACTTTATGCAGTCTTTCCAGTTCATGTTGCTTCACTTGTCATAAGGAAAAACTCAGGTAGCACTATCTCTTTATATAGAGATGAGTTATCCTCATTTGCTAGGGCCAACATCTACAATCCTAATTCCAAGTTCTGATAACTTTAGGCTGGCTGATAATATTTGGCTGTCTGTCATTTTCTTCCAGTCATTTTATGTATTAGTATTTTCATAGCATTTATCTCATGTTTTCTTTTGACAGATAGTTTTAAAATGTAAACAGCAAAAAAAAAAAAATAAAAAAATACCCCCAAAACCAACCAACAAATCTTCCCTGTAGATGAATAGAAGTACAGACTGGTTCCTTTACACCTATAGGATAAACCACTATACTCTGTGGACGTTCAGAAGAATATTCCAGAGGTCAGGAAGGTGAGGGGAGGAGACTGCAATTTGCACCACTATGGCCCCCTGTTGACCAGTTCCTGCAGAAGCAATTACCATGACTGCCCTGACAAACACTACAGCACAAGCTCCTGAAGTACTTACTAATAAATGCATGTCTGGAGACAAAATCCTCCTTGTTTAGAAGACAAGGAAACAACCCTGAAGTATCAGATGGGGTATAAAAACTAAAAGCTTGCAATTTCCCCAAGTAATTAGATAGATGGGAAAGAGTTCTTCCAAGCAAACATGAAAGAAAATAAATAAATGCTTGAAGCTTCAAAATTATTAGCCCCTTCCCATTATTCCAGGTATAAAGTGAATTTAATTTTTAAAATACTTTGAAATAAAATCCAACATATATAGTAGTCATAAAAATAACAAATTGATTTTTGTTGCATTTGTTACACAGCTCTACTGAGATGTCTAAAGAAAGAGCATCAGAGAAAGAGCTTAAATTTCTCTCTCTTCCTTTCAATCAATATTTGAGGCAAAGTTTCATCTCTAGGGCCCTTAATGGCAGGAATTCCTGGAGCCAGCAAATGAGTAATGTTAAACCTATGATTAGATGATGAGGCCATCAAAGACACTAGACCCTAATGCTACATTCCACTTTATTCCTGAGAACTGCAGTAAAACCAAAGGCTAGAGAAGAAAGGATTGTAAGTTATTCCTTCCCTGGAAAAAATGTTTCAAGAGCTGCTAAAAATAAAAGAAAAAAGTTGTATGACATGAACATTGAGCTCAAAAGTCTTAATGGATCTTCCGGAATTTTCTTGGAGCCCAGGACATCACCATTAGGTAACAAATTTTTCAAGTGCCTTGCTAGAGAAGGTTTGAAGTCGAAATCCCACTGAGGATTCCTGCCAGGGATGTATTTTTCTTTTACTTTTCCCTAACTGCTATCCCTCTAAAAGAGGAAGAAAAAAAAGGAAGAGAAAAAAAAAAAAAAGGAAAACAAGATTTAATGATTTCCTTATGACACAAGCTTGAAGAAATGCAACCTACAGACAGGCAAGGTAAGCTGGAACACTCTCCCCCAAAACCAGTTGTAAATGTTTATTATTTTCAGCCAGATTTCTCAAAAGTAGATCTTCATTTCAATTGTCCCAAGACACGCCTTTGTTTACAGTATATTTTTGGTGTATGCTGTCAGTGCGCAGTAGTGAATGCTCAAGAAAAGCTACAAAGGAATGATTTCCTTTGACAATTATATAATACATTAACCTGGGCATTCTATACACGAACTTGTTTTGAGTTAAACTAGCTCTGTGGGGAACCTGGTTAATGAAATGTTGTTATAAGTTTTTAGAGAAGTATAAAAACTTGTAAAGTTATTTGGATCGGTTGGGAAATCATATCTTTCTTACATTCTACAAAGTGAATGAAGTTCTAAAATGTTGCCTGATAACTTCTTACTGGCAGTTTAAAGTAAAAGGGTATATACACAATACTCACCAATAACACTTCTATTAAAATAAATAATATAAAAGTTAAGATATAAATAATCCAAACAGTATGAGAAACTAGTTTAGCTTTCAATATTTCAATATTTTTTTAAAGCATTTCAAAACATTAATTAATTTGGATTTGAGAAACCCATTACTGCTGTGTTAAAACCCCAATAATTAACCACACAATTTTTATGTAGAAATATTCTGCATCTGCAGTTCTTGAGGACTACCTAATCCATGTTCCTCTGCTTTTTATATACTGCCAGCTATGCAAAATATTCAGTGTTATGTCATGTGTATCAAAATACATAATAAATAAATACAAATATACATTGTATACCCTATGAATATAAAAAAATATAGAATGTATATCTAAAAAAAAAAAATCTACAATTTATATATTACCAGAAGAAACTAATTTGTATTTTTTTTGTAATGAAATGGAAGAATGAAACAAACTGCCAGATACAATTATTTGACTGGCAGTGATTACACAAGGAAATTAATACAATCAAAACCAGAGAATGTATTACCTGTGAACAAAGCAGCATAACCAGTTCAACCACTGAAGTACTCGACTTCATACAAACAAGACCTGCAATAAACAGTTAAGAATTAGTTTGAAAAATGGTGGTATTTTGATATAATAGCTCCATGGTTCCAGAAATCCATAAAATATATAAAATGTATATTTTTTTTTTATAATTCAAACAGACTAAAACAAGTTTCAAGCACAATTAACCAAGAATTTCAGCTTCACAAATATTTAAATGTTCATAAAAATCACCTGGAATAATCTAAACCAGTTCAGGACAGAATGTCTTCTAACTCTTTTTGGCATTTAGCTTAGTTATTAAAACAAACAAACTAACAAATATAATCCAAAGCAATTTAATGTATGATAAACAAAAGTAAACAGCTTTTGAATATTTAATCATGTAAATTTGTAAGAATAAAGTGATCAGTTAATAACAGGCAAATTATAAAGCCTCTGCTTAGACATTATTTTAATTTTCATCTGGTAATTGATTATCCTGTAATTGAAAGCTTGAGTATTAATGAAACAGGCATTCATGTGAAATCCTACTTTTATTAGAATCAAACCCCATAATTTTTAGGGCATGTTTCTTAAAAAAAACCCTTGAATTATATAGTCTGTTACTCAGTGTTTTGTGCTTAATTTAAATAATATAAACCTAATAATAATGTCACTATTGCAAATGCTTGCAGCTTTGGAAATGTAAATTTACTCTCTGAGAGAAAGATGTCATATCTGAGTATTTAAAGATGCACTGTAAGGAAATTTCATTTCTACTGTTAAGTTTACTTGTGCTAGCTCCTGTTATCTAAAACAATAGCCATTGATATGATGCTTAAGGGCGTAGAAACGCTTTGGCTGTGTTATAAAACTGATACATTTACAAATAAGCTTACAAGTAAGGACTAAATAGGCGGCCGGAAAGCAAACTGATGTGCTTTAAGAAGGTTTCTACAAACAGTGATTAGAGACAAAAGCACTCCTACACGATAGCATGTATATTTATTTAGGGTAGTGGATAAATAGCCTTTTGTGCCCATTTTGCTAACAACTCCATCCTTATTGTACAGTAACACAGAACAAGCTGTAAGAAGCCACTAGGCTTCCATTCTATCAGATATAGGGGCAGACAGTTAATGAAATAAGAGGCAGATGTGCAAAGCTCATTTAGGGAGACAATTGCTGTAATTGATCAGCTATTCTCATGCTCAAGTGCTAGAGGATCAGAAAGATTAATGAGATACTTATCACCTGCAGGCTACCTCCACTGTTTGGAAGCTGACAAAGAAAATCCAAACATAAGACCAAACCCCATAGTTATGCCAATGCAGGTAGGACAGACACATCAAATATTTCATCATAGAATGTTGTCTGGTTTGTTATGAATTCACCCCTTATTCTGGAAAACTAAAGAAAAAAAACCACAAAAACCACAGAAACAAACAAACAAAAAAAATCAAAACAAAACAAAGACAAACAACACACAAAACACAAATCTAAAAAAACAAAAAAACCCCTTTCTGTCACGCACTCACTTGTCATCCTTCAAAATCAGATCTCAGGTGTACTAAAACATGACTAAGGCAAAGTAATACTCTTGGAAACCTCATGCCACAATCTTCTAAATCTGTACATATTCTTACTTCTGATTTTACATCAAAAGAAGAAATGTATACAGAATGAGCACCATACACACTTATGCAAAAGAAACCAACTAAATTACATAAAAGTGATTACAAAGCAGCAGTAATGTCTTTGTATCTTCAGCATTTCACTTTTTCAAAAAGAAAACTTGATATAAAATATATGCTTTGAAGAGAAACACATAGCAAATATTTTCTGGCTTAATTAATTTAATTAGAAGTTCTTAACTTTCAAAGGCAGGGCTTCTTACGCTACCTGTTCATCTTCAAACAAAATGAAAAAATTTTGGAGTGTGGACTGAAACAAACACACCTAAAATGGCACAAAGCTAGGATAAATACTCATGATTAGCTTCAGATAACAATGATTTTCTAGTCCTAATAACACAAAGCTGCAGATATGACAAAGCATGACTGTTTAAAATGATTGCTTAGATCAAGATTACCTATTTACAAGAAGAATTTTTATACACTCTGCCTAACTTTTTAATAACTCAATAATGGCATGCGTCTAAGTGGTCTCTGACCTCAAACTGATGTCTTTTCACTACTCCTCTGTACATTACTTGCTAATTTTTATATATCACATCTAATCAACTGCTTGGATGTAGCATGCCAGCACTGGAAAGGGGAATCAAACTGATTTTGATGAAATTCAGAGAAAGAAAGAGAAGGATACAGAACTGACATCTGGTTAGCACATCAGCAGGCCCATTAGCTATAACCAGCTCTTTAATTGCCTGCTGATGAAACAACCCATTGGTAACAGCCATTAACACCTCTCATAACCACCAGTATTAAAAGAGGCTGGTTTCCATGTCCAAAAGGAACAAATAATTATCTTAGAGACTGTAGCACTTTTCTCATAAGAAAATACAGAGTGGGATAGGAAGGCCTCATTAAAGAAGGTCATGGTGTCAATGATGTTTGTCTCAGTCTACTGAAGAAATTAAGCGTGCAGCTCTCTACTGATAAATAAGCAGAATTGGGAGTGGCCCAGAAAGAAAATGGGGTATCCTGTGCCCCCTGATGGTCAGTAAGAAGGAAATAGAAACAGAAATACTTTCTGTTCACCTTTAAATATTCATATCATACATTCCTTGAAGTAAAACAGAATACAGAAATGTGAAACATTCATAGCAGGGCCACCATTTCGCTTTATACATTTCTTACTTATCAGCCCCCTAATCCTACTTAAGGGACTCTCTTGACTCAAACCACAAGGGAAAGTGTGTGCCCTCCTTTATATGCCCCATTTCCTCCATCCTAGCTGCCAAGGGCTCTATTGTGCTTCTTCGCATTTTTGCTTCTTCCCGACTGAGCAGTTAAGATTTCAAGTAAATAACGATTTTTTTTCCTGTTATGCAAAACACAATTAATCTTCAAAATTTACTGTCAGAGTTGTTGTGCAGTCAATAGTAGAGAATGATAAAAACAGATCAGGCCTAACGGAGGACAGATCCATTTCTGCCTATTAGGAAGAACTGTCAGAATGCAATCTCTGTGTTATGAAGATCCCACATCACCAAAAGCTGTAGGAACAAGTTTAGGAAGAACCACAATCCCTGTCCTATTAAACTTTTCCTTCATAGACCAGAAAAAAAGAGATAATTTTATTACTCTTCCAGTTTCTAAATTTGCACCCTCCTCTCTTCTAGGAGACAAAACTTTGTGAATTGACTAATTTCTTTTGGCATCGCACAGGAATCAAAAGTATTTCCCTCATTTGCACAGTCTATATCCTGACAGACAAAAATTAAAAGAGAGGTAGAAAAGTTCTCCCATTTTTCAGACAGTACAGAAGGCATAAACTGCTTGAGGTCTCTTCATAAAATTAAAAATAGTATTTGAAGTATGAATCAGAATAAGTATCAATTTTCCAATTGATTTTCTAAGTTCCAAATGTGCTAACAACTGTATTTTTATTTCCTCTTTACCATTTTGCACAGTTCAACAGAGTTTTTAGTGTGTGCAAAATTTTATTAGTTTTAACATAATGAGGAAAAGAAAGATAACAAGCTTGGAAAAATAATGGCTTCTCTGATTGAAGAGAGCATACAAATCTATTTTCAGTTCTCTTCCCCCTCCTTAACTCTAATGAGAAAAACTATTTGCCACTCAAACTAAAACTGTTGCCTGCATTCTTCAGCTGCATATAAGTTCTTCCTATACCATCTGTATCAAATGCCATTAAGTAAGCTAATGTAATTACTAAAATACAAGTGGATATTTCCTGCATACAGCAAGGTTAAAAAGGTCACTGTCGAACTGAATGGAGTATGCACTTTTTACATTTGCTATTCTTAGTACTTTTCTTCATGGTCTATTCTCAGTCCATTAAATATAGCCATCAAAATTCAGCAATTTGATGGCAACAATGACTACATATATGGATGCAAAAACTGGGAGCATCAAGTGCATGACCTTGGTTAATCTGGAATAAATGATGTATGCCTGGCAATTATCTTGAAATGCTCTGGTTTACTTGACTTCTTTTCCAGTGTTCTTCTGCTGGCCCAAAGATATGCTAATTATTTCTTTTCACTATGACTTATTAATGTCTGAAAAAAGATTAATTTCAACTATACTGTTTTAGTCATGCTTGTGGCATTAATGAAGTCATGGGTTCAAAACTTCCAAGTCACCATGCTGACCTAGTCAGTGTGAATTTCCATTTTGAAGAAATATAATGTAGGCTGATAAAATCAATTTTAAAAAAAATCCTTATGAAATAAGATCATGGTTTTGAACTTCTTTTTATTATTATTAATACAATGTGTGTATGAGTCTAACTGAATACCACCACAATTTCATCTGGTATTTATCAAGGTTTGCCTACATTTTCTTTCAATGATTTTACTTTGTGTCAACTTAAAACCTTATTGGAACTGGAATCAATTGTAATACTAGCAACAACAAAACCTAAATGTTTTTATAGCTCATGTTCAACTTAGAAAAAAAAGATGCAATTAACAAAACTTTAGAGCCTGCAGAAATCTTTCACTCAATTATAGCTTCTGCTTATCTGAAAAATCTCAGATATGGCTAGGTAAAATGTTTGAGAAAGTTTAATCCATTTAACTCAGTTCACAGAGAAAAACTGGTCTTTATTACTTCTCTGCATCATATCATCAAAACTGTAGGAGCTTTGCTTAGTACAAGATGCTTAGGAAAAAATACACACATGCTATTATATCTATTATTTTAGTAACATGTGAGAAGTTTGTAAATTGCACCTAGGAATGAGCAAAAAGACCTAAAACTAGACAAAAAAGAAAATCAGAAAACACTAATTCTTCTTTGTAACTTTTTTATTTTTTTTTGTAAGGCAAGCTTTTTTTCTATTTCCTTGTGATATAGTCTTCCATGTACCTTAAACAAAACTGTATTGTTTCAAATTGTTTGAAATTGTTAATAATAA